AACTTCATTTATAACAATAGGATTTGGGCTATTTGCCATTCTCTGTTCTTAAAGACAGAACTACAATGAAGGGAGTCGAAGAGAAACAATTTTTTTCTTTTGTAAAAATTTTATTATGAAAAAATTTAACCATTTACAAAAATAGACGATAGTTCAACATAGCTCCCCAAAACTTATCACCCAGATTAAACAATTACCAATGTTTCTGCCCTATTTTTTCCTTTGCCGAAATATTTTAAAACAAATTCCAGACAGTAAGTCATCTCACCCTATAGTTCTGAACATTGGAGATGTCTTACATGACCTCAAAGCCATTATCTTACCCCAAGAAATGAGGGATTCTTTGGTATTTAGATCACAGTTCAATTTCCCTAATTGTCTCAAAATGTCTTTTCCCCTGATTTATTTTAACATGGATCTAATCTAGGTCCACTTAGATTTGTTTGTTATATCTGCCATGTCTCATTCCCGATGGGAGCATATTTTAGTTAACATACGAAAAAACACGGTAGAAAGGGCAACCTCCAGTGTTCGAGGAGTGGCTGTGCGGACACTGGAAGTTTCCTAGATATCAGCCAAGGGCATACACGTGACCTTTTTTCGATATGGATTTTAATGAATGAGCAGTAAAAGGTATACTTGGAAACAATCCAGGGAACACGCTCAGTATATTAAGGAGTTATCGTTAATTCTGTACATGCAATAGTTTGAGTCCTGTGATTATGTTTTAAAAATATCTTTATTAGTTGTTGGTATACATTGATGTATACCTGCATTAAACCATATGATATCTGGAATACGCTTTAAATTATTCAGGCAAAGAAAAAGGGTAGAATAGCTGAATAAAACAAGTGTCAAAAACTGCTAATATCTTCAGCTGAGTGACGGACTCATGGGGGTTGATTTTGTAGCCTCTCTACTTTGGAGTAAGTTTGAAAACTTCCATAATAAAAGTTCTTTAAAATAACAATAAATAAGGAGAGGGAAACTAATCCGTGAGACCTCTACACTGGGAGAAAGTTTGAGCAGATAGTGTCGAAGGATCTTTTAAAAACATAACCTTAGGGTAGAGTCTGGGAAACTCACCGAGTCACGAAGCCTCTCTGATCTCTGACAAGTCTTTCTTGTCGGCCTGCCACTGCCTAGAACCAGCAGCAGCTCCGCTCCCTGAGGCTGATGTGTGACAGTGCCCCTGTTGGGATCCGGGGGACTCGGAGCACCCGCTGCAGCATCAACCACCTCATCCTCCGAGGGGGCACTCAGGTCAGCTGGCCTCTGCCCATCCCGCCCCAGCCGCATCCTCCACTCCTCTGCTATGTCCCTGTTCCTCCCTCTTCCTCAGATCACCTTCTCTGTCACCTTTGATGTCTCTCCGAAAGCTGTGCTGGGAGACTGGCTGCTTGTGACCGCCAACGTGAGCAGGTGAACTGGCCCAGGCCCGGGCAGTGCCCCTCCCGCCCCACCCTCATACTCCTCCTCCTCTTCTGCAGCCCCTGGCAACCAGGCTCTCCTTGTTTTCCAGTGAGAATAACACCCCCAGGACCAGCAAGACCACCTTCCAGCGGGAGCTCCCGGTGAAGTACGCCGTCTACACTGTGATCAGCAGGTGCCCCAAGGGTTATGTTCTCCCGCACTCTAACTGGGTGAAGTGGGTGTTCTCACCTCACGCAGCAGTTGGAATACCTGGGTTATTTTAGGTTTTATTGTCATCCTTTC